CGGGAGGTACCCCAAATATCAGCAGGCACGTGGACGATGACCAGTCGCACCTTACCGGCTTAAGGCAGGTAGGTACCTCAGCCATGGATGGAGCAGCTCCAGCTGGATGCAGCAGCGTAGCTCTCGTCGCAATTCTTCAGCGCTCAACTCAACTTTGCCCGGCTTGATCCATTTCTCGATTCTTTTCTCCTTGTACAACTACTCTCCTATTTCACTTCGCCCTCCTCTATCCCATCTCTGGCTGCAAATCAACAGGCCAGGCAGTCCGATGCCGATGCCGCGACGGACACTCTAATGTGCGACCAGCGAGCCACTGCGACGACCTGATCCACGACTACCTTGCTCGACTACCGTACCTTACGAGTCTACGACTGCCCGCCTGCGACCGAAACCGATGACGACGTTGCTATCCACAGAGTCAGACAATTGCGATCGAATTCGGCTTTAGGAGGATATGCGCATGCCATTGCAGAAAGCCTCGTTCCCTCCGTTCCTCTAACCCTCTTCTTCAACCATCCTGCGACAACCACCGCTGTGCCCTTTCGCTAGCGAATCCCCCCAACCGCCAATACTTGATCCGAGTCGAATCTTGCATTCTACAACCATCGAGCACGACAACGAAGACAAGAAAGACGCGCAGAAGCCGCAGCGGCCCCGAAAGTCTGCGGAAGCAGTGGAGGACCAAAGACATTGATGGCTGCCTTTGTGAGAGAAGAGACCCTCCCCGAATCACCCCCACCCCCGACCCTCGCCCACCACATCCTTGCCCTGTAGTCTGTTCGTCATTACGGAGCAGCCTGCGGATACCCAGACCTTGAAGCGCACCGGCTCCGCCCTGTTCCGCCGTGGCCGAAAAGAGTGACAGCGAAACGGAGGCGGGCATGTTTGAATGTCTACCTCCCGATTTTGTCTATCTGGCCTTGTTCATGACAGTAACGCTAAGCTGAGCTGAGCTGAGCTGGACTGAGCTTGGGACAGCTGGTGGGAGCAGATGGCACACAGACAAGACTGAAAGAAAAGACACGGTCACGCCCGTCACGGAGCTACCCCGGTTGTCTCTTGTGTGTCTCTCTCTGTCTGTGTCTTTCTGCTCAGCTGCCACTTGCGCTTTGGCATCCTTCAACGCATCAGCCACGTCATAACCTTTCCGCTCGTCTATCCTCTCTATCCGTACACTTTGCCTTCTACCTCTCGTTTCTCCTTTCCCACCCAACCTTATCACGCATCGCATTCCACCCCAAATGGCATCCAGTCTGCACACCTCATCCCCCCTCCGGCCTCACTGACGGGCGGCTTGCCACGGCTGCATCCATTTACCTACCCACCTACGCATCCATTCTTTGCATAACCCACAGCCAGGCTAACCATTCCGTCACCTGCTGCAGGATACGCCCTGGCTAGTCCACATGTCGACCCCAAAGGCCCACCGCGGCGCCGATGCCGACTCCGGAAACGATCCCTCCCAGGGCTCCGGCTTCGACGGCAACCCCTCCGGCGCGCCGCCCACCTACGCGACCTTCTCCCCCGTCACCCTCGCCGCGACCACTCCAAGCCGATCCTCCCGTCAGTCCACCATCATCGTCCATCAGAAATCTCCCCTCCTCCTAGCCACGCCGCCACAGATCACCCGCGCATTAGCATACTCGCATCCCTTTCTCCTGCCCCTCAATAAGCTTGCCGGGCTGTTGACATGGACTACTGACGATCCGTGGGAGAGCTTCCTCCTGCTGGCATCCTTCTGGGCCATTGTCCTCTATGGCGACGTCGTTGTGCGTATGGCGGGGCCGATCGTCGTTGTCCTGACATTGATACTGGGGATGTATGGCAGACGCTTCAGTCCGCTGAGCAGTAGTGGGTGGACAGAGCCAGCTTCCAAGGACCCTGGCGGCGCGCAGAACACCGGAGGAGGTGCAGCCGCGGGCAAGGCACAGAAGTCGGCACCCAAGAGCAGCACAACTACGAATACAACAAAGGGTCACCAACGAGGCGAATCAGAGGCAACGAACACAAGGCACCAAAAGACACTGGACGAGATTGTCGAGACACTGAAGGAGTTCACTGGGCGATGTAACCTCTTGCTGGAGCCGCTTCTCGAATTGACCGACTTTCTGAGCACTCAACGAACCCCTACGTCTGCCACAACACGACCAGCCTTGACGACGCTGTTCGTGCGCATCCTGTTCTGTACGCCTTTCTGGATGGCCTTGACGCTCCCACCATTACGCATCATCACAACTCGACGAGTGGCTCTGCTTTTCGGCACCCTGGTGCTTACATGGCATGCTAGATTCCTGCGAGTCGCCCGGACGCTGTTATGGCGCAGCGCCACAATCCGAAGGACGGCAGCCTTAGTCACGGGCTTAACATTTGAGAAGCCTGTCAAGGCCGTTCCTGTCCAGATCACCGCGGCAGAGAATGGCAAAGTGCAGGCCAAGCCGGCAGCATCGGAGCTCACCAAGGCGCTGCGCAAGCAGTCTCACAGGCATGGCAACAATGCCACGAGCAAGGATGCAGGTGTCAAGTTCACCTTTATTATATACGAGAACCAGCGACGATGGGTGGGCTTGGGCTGGACACAGAGCATGTTTGCCTACGAACGGTCGGCATGGACTGATGAACATAACAACCCTGTGCCGTCACGAGACACGTTTGAGCTGCCCGAGGTGGAGGATGGTAGTAATATGCGCTGGCGGTGGGTGGAAAGGAGCAAGTGGAGGGTTGACGGGGTCCCAGACGACGGAACTGAGCCCATTGACTATGACGGGGAACCTGGGAAGAATGGATGGATCTACTACGACAACAAGGTGAGCGAGCTCTGACTATTGTAGCTGAGTGAGTGCTGGAGTGTATGTGATGTGACTAACACATGCCGGTCAGTGGCAAAACGGACGCCGCGGCTCGGACGGATGGGGGCGTTGGACACGGCGGAGAAAGTGGTACCGCGACGCCGAGCTGGTGGAGGTTTCGGAGGACGAAATGGCACACGAACTGGACGCCTCACAAGCACCGAGCTCTGCCCGGCCGGGCTCGCCCACAACAGGTCCCCCGGGTCCCGCCTTGACGACGCAGAGGTACAGCACGCTCGAAGAAAAGATGGTTTCCCCTACACACTCGGCGCAAGACCTGACCCTATCAGATAAGGACCTGGAAAGAGAAAAGGACGACACGGCTTCCACTCTCTCGACGAGCTCGGGCGGACGATCATTTTTCAAAGCGCCGTCATTACGACGAAAGGTGACGGATAAGAGCGTCGCCAGCAAAGCCGACAAGGAGCAGGACCGCAGTCGTAGGGCGAGCGAGGCCAAGAGCGAAGAGGAAGCTGCGGCGCTGGGACTCAAGTTGAACCTCGCTTTACAGGGTAAGGAGGGTGGGCAATGGGGAATCGGCGATGAGGCCAGAATGAGTTTGGAGTAAATGGGCGACGACGTCCCCCGGGTTGGCTCAGAATTACGAATGAGTCTTAGTTACTATTGATTCCTGATTGGGACGGCAAGGTACTATACGCTGCGGTACGGTACGGTACGGTACGGCATACTGCACGGGAGGGGTTGGGCATGGACGCGGCGTTTGTCGGCTGTAGAGTATTCATGATTCGACAAGGGAAGAAGAGTACTTGATGTATGATTTGGGGCGATGAGACAGAAAACACACACGTGTTGTATGTGTGTGTGTATGTGTTTGCAAGTCTACAAGGCATGGCAGGCCGCAGGCTGCAGCAAGTCACTCACTCACTCACCCACTCTTTTTGGCTTTGACATGTGGTTTGGTTTGATGGGAAGGCGGATGTGCTTCCTATGGGCAAGGTACCTTGCTGCTTGCGCACGGGTGTGACCACAAATATGCGTGATGAAGTGTGTGTTATGTGTTTGTCCATCACTCTGCCTTGGGATGGTTAGGTTATCCGTACTGGTCAGTGGTCACTGGATGGGTGAATATGCGCGTGGTGTCGGCTGGACTGGCGGGAACGAGAAGAGTCCAAAGAGGGCGAACGACGATGAGTGGTGCGCAGGCGAGCTGGGCATCGAGACACGGGGTCTTGCGGGTCCGGGGTAACGGGCCTTTGCTGCGGGGGGTCCGAGAAGGGCAACTTTGCCTAGTACCTGACTGGTGGGAGGTCCAGGCCTTGGGGGGGTGGAGGGGAAGGCAGAAATAAATAGGTAAGAATAGTGTAAGAGGTGCCTCAATAGGTAGGCAGTGAATAGGTAGGGATGAAGGGGAAAAGGGCTGAGGGGGCACGGCACGGGGGGTGGATGGATGATGTGAGATGGAGGGCTCAGGTGCGACGCGGACGGGAATGGTGACGGGGTCAGGTGGTCCGTCGCATGTCGGAAGAAAGGGAGGCCACACAAACCTTTAAAAGGGAGAGAGAGATAGTATCGGTACCTAGGGCCTAGGCAATGCTGGGTAAGTATCCGTAGACTTGTGTAGAAATGTAGGTAAGTAGCTGGTAGATAGGCTGGTAGACTTGTGTAAGAGACAGGAGGAGCCAGCTGAAAAACACAAAAGGGATACACAGCCCAATGACACCAAGTATCTAATTAAGGGGTTCACGCACATAATTCCGTGATGCCTAAAGTTTCTTGGGGGTTGGAATTTGTCAACGTGTTGTTCCTTGGTTTGTCCACACCCAATTCAAGCTTCTCTCTTTTCTTCTTCATCACTCAACTTTCTTGAACTGAGTTTCTTACACATATTCTCCTCGTCGGGTTGTGCCTCTGATTCTACCTCTGCTTCTTCTACATCTTGTTGCAGTTATTCACTCGTCGCCGACTTTACGCAAACCCGTTGCTAAAAATTATCGAGCACCTATACTCCATCTAATTACCGATCACTCCTCCAAAACTCCAAAATCTACAGGGTAGTTGGAAACGGCGGGCAACTCGCATGTCTACACTGCGTATCCCAACGCTGTTAACCTCGGCACAATCGAACCGGATTGACCTCGTCAGCCTACGTCTACGCCCACATACTACGCATCCACGGTCGCGATACCGATCCCGATGGAAGCCGCATCTCGCCTCGCCTTGATGGCCATCGTCACCCGGGCAGGAAGCCCGCAACAGCAGCTACGGCAACATCTACAGCAGCAGCGCGTGCCAAAGCAGCATCAACAGCAGCACCGAGACGAAAAGGCGGCGTGGAAACATCTTCACCATCCGCTGGTAACAGTCGTCGAGTATGACGTTGAAGCGCAGGCGGGTCTAGGTGCAAGAGAAGCAGCAGCAGCAGCAGCAGGGGAGGGGAAGAGAATGTTGGGGAACCTGGGCCACCACCACTACCACCAGCAGCAGCGTTCCTCGGGACGGGGACGTCGGGGGAGCGCGGGGAGTTCGAGCTCGCGGTCGAGTGACGGGGAGAACGGTGCGATGGCTGCGCGAGGCGGATTGGAGGCCGTTGCGTGGTGGATTCTGATGGGGTTGGAGTTGTGTGTCGTTGGCGGCGTTGAGGGCTGGATCATTTACATGGTCTACAATGCCGGCGGTGATTTTGCGATTTGGAACTGGTGAGTATTCTCTCTTCTTCTTTTTCTCCATCCTCATTCTCCCCACGAAACATCGAGTATCATTCGGGGAGCATCGAGTACCTGTCACCCAGTGAGGGTTGGATCTCGATGGAGTCTTGATCTCGTGTCATACAAACAAATCAGGCATAGCTAACGATGACGGCACCCGCAGGTTATCCCAGTTCGCGTCGCCTGCCCTGATGATCCTCCTCAGCGTCTCCCTCTCGGCGGCCCTGCTACGCGGGGTCGGCTGTCTGAATAGGCTTGGGGATTTGGGGTTCCAGGCGGCCGGTCTGGTGCTGGCCACGTTTTGCACCGTCGTAGTGTGCGCTGGTGTGAGTGGTGTTGAGGAGGGGCAGGGGGAGAACGGCGACAGGTTGGAGAAGAAGGGGGTGCGGGTCGTCGTCGGGTTGGCTGTCAAGATGTGGTGAGTAATTCGTTGCCCTTTTTTTTTGTGTTTCTTTTTTTTCCTTTTTCTGTCATTCTCTTATCCCATCACGTGTTGCTTTACGACAATATCTCTGGCTGGTCCGGATCAGTCCGTTGGGAGAAAAGGGATACCTACATGTAGGGGTGCATGTAGTTTTGGCCTTGGCTTGGCTCAACACCAGAACCGACATGATGGACTAACGAATTGGGTTTCGCTAGGTTCCTCTTCTTCATTGGCTTCCTGTGTGCCGTGTTCCAGTGGTACAGCGAAGACCGGCAGAGAACAACAACATCTACGACGAACCAGACGCCGCTACTACCAAAGAAGGGGAAGAAGAAGGAGAGGGGCTACGGCACTGCCACGGGCGGATTGGCGACCGTCGACGAGACGGTTGAGGGGTTTGTGAGCGACCTATGAGAGGCGCGCGGATGGTCTTCTCCCCTTTTTGCCATTACTGATGATGAATTCTTTTTTCACGAAGAGCATATGCATGATGAGCGCGCGCTCGCGCGCCTACACTACAACTGAGTTCCGCGACATTCCGATACCCCCTTTTTACCCGGTTCCTTTTCATCCGGCCGTGGTACTTCTGCTTTAGCCTACGAGCGGCAACTGCTGTCGTCCTAGATACTGCAATTCTACTGTACTAGAATAGCCTTTTCTTTCGTGTCACTGTCATATATAGCTAGCCTTTTTCTTTGTCAACCTGGTGAGATGAGATTACTCGTATCCATCTTACTGGCTGCTTCGCCGGTTACCTCTGCTCGGCATCAATTGATGTAGGACAGATTATCCCACCCGAATGATAGCTACCTTATGCTGCCGTGATTCGATCGCGTTTGATGCCACGACACATTTACATGTGATAGCTAGCCATGCGACAGCCAGCCAGCTCGTCGGTACCAGCGATTGCACTGCATGCGCATCTATACCAATGAGTATAGTAAGCTCACATCTATGTGGCGCGTTGGTACTGGACCACACTCTTTCGCCGATTTTGGCTTTAGTGATGATTGAGGCTCTCGGAAACTTGATACCTGGGCATCGCTGCTCCTTGGGGAGACGAAACGGCAACTTTGAGTTTAATCGGACGGCAGGGCTCGGTTTCGCCGCCGGCGCTTCAAGGGCGATGGAAATAATACTTTTACTGTGTTTCTCGTTTCGTCGGGTTGTATTCCGCCTGCCGAACTCGGTAGTGTTTTCATCATCTCATGATAGCTTTATGGGTCTACGGATTGCTGCCTCTCTGCTCATGAAGCCGTCCATGAAGGTTGCTCGCTCTTCTTCTTGGCTTTTAGTAGACTGCAGTTTGCGGTATCGGTTGAATTAGTTTCCCGTGAGTCGGCTTCCAAGTTGTCAGTCGCGGACCAGCAGGTGGTGGTTCGGCAGAGCATTACTGGTTATCGAGTTTAATCTCGTCTGATGATGTTGCCCAAACAATCAAGACGACGTGAGCAACGACCAGCCCCTGACCTTAACGCTACCCCTCTTCGAAACAACGACGTTGATCCTGCCGACTTCAGAAATATGCGCCCCGCGTTAGATAGTCAGTTTGGGGCAAACTTGTCTCCTCCTGACCAGCTCCATCGCATACAGCATGTTGATCTCACTGTCCGTCTCGTTCCCAGGGGCCGTCCTGGTCACCGTGGTATGACTCATTGTGCGTGTATCTGGAATACAACGACTAACACTCTCTCGATAGGCATGGGCCTTTGGCCAAGACGCCCCAAGCCCCGGCGCGCCCATCCCGGGCTACGGCATCTTCATCCCACGATGGGAAGTCCCTTCGCCCGACGGCAGCGGCAAGACGCTCTCCTTTCGAGGCACGGTCGAAGAAGTAGCGACCCAGATGCGCGACATGCACCCGAGCTTCGACATTGACGACGAGTTTGGCAAGATTGCCATGCCGGCTATCGGGAAGCGGGCCACCTTTGAGGATAATGACCAAACACTGTGCCACAACTTCAGGGAAGGCAATAGAACGGCTGCACATGTCAGTATCGATGAACTGAGGACCGTTCAGGGGAAGCCTGAGAACGGGGCCGGGCCTGCGAACTGCGGACGGGTTAGTTGTCGGAACGGCACCGCTATCTGGTGGTGCAATGATGTGAGTATCTTGCTTTCCCCTTCTTTGAGGACCTTGTTAGGGTTGGCCTAGCATGATGAAGTGTCTGATACGTTTGTTCGATGCAGGCCAAGAGCACCAAGCAGATAGATTCGTTTGGCGACATTGCCGACGGCGCTCAGCGCGTCTTGTCAAAGTGCAAGGACAAGCTGGATGCCAATCAAGGGCAAGGTATGACTGTCAGCGGCCAGGCTTTCCACAAGGATAGTTGGAATGTTGTTGTCCGAGGTGGAGATAACTGCGATGATGCAGGTGTTATGATGAATCCCAGAGGCTCTCGGAGACTTTTCAAGGCGTAGGCGCCTTGAAACCAGCCGCAGTGTGTGACGTTAGGAGAATATGGGTGTGGCGAATCATGGACTCCGAGCTGCGGCATATGAGTTACGGACATCGAGAGTTGTAGATTGCCAAGACGAGAGACAGAGTGGCCAAGAAGAATGGATTTTCATAAACTCGTCATGTCAAGTCACGTTCACTATCTTTTGATGCTCTGAAGAACCCAGTCCTCTCCGTCTCTCCGTAGCCCTCCGGTAATACCTGATGCCCTCAAGTGCGGTAGCCTGCTGTCCTTGTTGGGTGTTTCCTCGACATGATCCCCTAGTAGCACACTCTTCTCATCTGGGTGCACTGCCAAGAGTGCCGGGAGAGGCGAGCCCTTGACAATCTCAATGTCTAGACTAGCAGTCTCCGCCATGATGATGGCCAAGGTCAGAATCGAGAGTCCGACCTGAGCCGCCAGTAGCGTCAACCAAGGCCACCGGATCGAGACGAATCTCTCCTCCTGCCACGCAGTCCCGCTGACGTTACTGACCAAGAGACTTCACGGCGTTAGCTCGTTTTCATGTACGCTCAATAGAAACACAAGATTCCCCGAGTACTTACGCATTCGTGAGGCCACTGGCAATGTTCTCAGTAAGGTTGCGGAGCGTTGTAAACAGGGCGTCATCCAGCTTGTGAGACTCGGTTGTCTCATTGATACCGATTGCAGCTCGCGATAAAGCTGTCCCATAGATTTGGGTCCCGTTCTGAAACATGTATGTACCACCGTCAATGTAGGTCCCCGATAGAGTCGAGTCGAGAATTGCAGCAATCTCAGCAGGTCCCATCCCGTCGGCCACATATTTCTTGCCCGGGTTGTCTGGAGATGTCAAGTATGTCACGTTGCTGGTCATGTTATAAGTCTCCACAAGCACCTCTCCCGTCTGCGGATTCGTGTAGGAAGCGACCTTTTGCGTGACGGGGAGGTTGTCCTGAACTGTGACCCTGTATGTGTTCACACACCAGTGCAGCATGATCTCAGTGGCTCGTAGCCGGGGACCGTTAATCACGAAGAAGTTCCATATCTTGGCTCCCATGGCGTCGGTACCGTTGAATGCTAGACTCGGGCCGCTGGAGATGTTCAAATTGCCATACCCATAGCTTCTCTGTAACTTTAAGCCGTTAGGAAGCGTGGAGTTCGTGCCCATTTCGATGGGGTCGCCATCAGTCTCGAGAAGGTCTGTGACATCTGAAAGAAGTTAGCTTACGAACAAGGGGAAAAGTAGTGTGGCGATGCTCCTACTCTTCATGTCAACGCATATGGCAAGTGAGGTGAAGTCGTCCCAGGTGCAGTTGTTCGATCGGCAACTAGCTTGATAATATGGCATTACCTCGTTAGGTGGGGTGTAAAGACTTCGAGGAATAATCTGGTTGATCGGGAACATGATATCTCCTGCTAAAAGGTCAACTTTGAAAATACATGTATCAATTGGGCTAGATGACGAACTTCGAGAAGGTCCGTTGGCAGTCGCCCAGAAGTACTCATTGTTCCTTCGTGTAAGTGCGGTCTCGTTTCCGGGAATCGCAACCTGACGAGTAGGGTAAGTGACAACGGATTGTGTCAGCGTTGAGGTCGCAATCCCAGAAACCAATATGACAGCCGAGAGAATTCCAACTAGCCTGTACCATCTCGCCTAATTAGTGCTCTGCTATCGAATCACACCTGCTTAGCTTAAGGTGATTCACATACCGGCCCTTCGTCCTGAGCAGCAGCTTCAAGCTGCCCCACGGCCCGCGACTGGCCTCGTCAAAGACCGCAAAATCGCCCAATGGCCTCGGCGACTTGTACCAGTTCCATTTGTACTGCGATAGACTTTCGACGACTGGAAGAACGAACGACGTGCGACAGAACGTAGAGATGAAGGCCACGACGGTGTTGAGCGTCAGACCAAGGGGCCAGTTCGGCAGTGGCTGGTTGTCGTACGACCTCAGCACCGAGATGAGAACAATGATGCATACAACGCTGATCAAGCACCATATGATCTCTGGCCACCACCCTTTCAGGATCTGCCATCGACGTCGCGGAGACCGCCTTGTGTTGTTCCTCGTCTTCTCGGCGCTCGATGTCTTCACCAGCTCGTATTCCGTCTCGCCGCTCGCAAAGGTTGACTTGGAGGGTAGATCTCTTCCAATCTCCGTGCTTCGCGGTTCGTCGGAAGGGCGTGCCGTGGACTCAAGCTCCTGTTCCCAATCGTAGACGTGGGTATGCGCAGATGAGAGCAGCAGGGCCTCGTCGTACCCAAGCGGCGGAACGTACGAGGGGACTGGTTTCCGCCGTACTTGACGCGTCTCGTCATCCTGCCCTCTTGAATCCATCACGAAGGTTTGCCTGCCGCTGTGCCGCTGTCACGCATGCGAAATGTGGGCGTCTCGGGTGTTGTCCTGCGAGCTTATCGGTGTACCAAGATCGAGCTCCTCAGCCTCTCCGTAAAGTTCCATGTTCCGGGGCGGTCTCTTCCCTTTTTTAGATCCGGAAGCCCATGAAAATGCTCGCATTGTCACCGCCACGAAGGGGCGCCTAAGTGTGAATTTGTGTCATAAGCACTACCCCAAGTTGGCGTAGATCACCCAAGCACGGTTTGATCATTCACGCTGCGAAACATCTTTAAAGTAGCTGCCTGGGCAAGCTGAAAGGCTAGGTCTTACCCGCCACTCGCTAAGAAATAGCCCGACTAGCGCGGGATTCAGGCCATTTGGAGCTGGCTCTTTGGCACTGAAAGCTTACACTGCTTATTCTTTTCTTTCTGTGAGTCTGTCGGGCCATCAATGTTTGTGGAACAGTAGCACTGTTAACTTGCGAGCTACTCTAATGACAGAGAAAGCCCCTCATTCGGACGAAGAGCAGCAACATCGAGTTTGATGAAAAATTATCCTGCCTCCCCGCCTTCAATTAGCCCATTTCCAAGCTAAACCTTGCGAGATCTATGCGAACTTGACGCCGTTCTTTAGCGTCCCGATATTGGTGATAGTGACTTCCATCTTATTTCCAGGAGCAAGCCATTTTGGGGGCTTGAAACCCGCGCCAACGCCTTTCCATGCCCTTCAGTCAGTACAAGGAACGATCAACGGGTGGGCGCTGGAATCTTACCTCCTGGTGTACCCGTCATAATCACCGAGCCCTTCTGCAGTGTAGTCCCAGAGGATAGATAGGAAATAATGTAGGCACAATCGAACAGAAGATCATCAACGCCCTCAGTTTGCCTCACTTCGCCATCAACCTTTGTCTCAAGGTGAAGCGATTTGGGGTCCCCAACAAGATCAGGTCGAACGAGACAGGGTCCCAAAGGTGCAAACGTGTCAAATCCCTTGGAGAACCCCCACTGTGGCACGTTCCCTGCAAACGCAGCATCACGTTGGAGTTTCCTTGATGAGATGTCGTTGCCACAAGTGTACGCAGCAACATAATTCAACGCATCTGACACAGATACATCCTTGGCGTCTTTTCCGATAACAAGACATAACTCGCCTTCGTAGTCGGCCTGGTCATCCTGGCAGATATTGGGAATGATTACATCTGCGTCATGGTCCAGAACAGTTGTGTTGGGTTTGAAAAAGATGAAAGGGAACGGCGGCGGCTTGCGGCCGGCCTCTCTGACTGAGAACGTGGTTAGTATCTAGCTTATCATGCAGTGCGTTTGACTTACTGTGCGTTGCATAGTTCAGCCCTACACATCGGAGAATAGGCACATCCTCTTGCGCTAAAGGGCCGAGAAGCTTCTTCACTACAACAACCTCATCGGTGACCTTGGTCTTCCCTGAGGTGTCATATATGTCAGAGCCCTCGATAACTCTTGCCTTCAAACTTGTCTCCTCGGTAGTGTTTCCCAGGTCGAATCCCTCATGAGGGAGGATGGGCTCTCCTCGGAGGATTCGCCCATCGCTTGCAGCAAAACGAATGAGTCTCTGCCACGATACCGACATTATGGTGGTTTGGCGAGTAGACAGCGTGAGTAAAGGTAGTGTAGAAGTACTTTAGGAAACCTTGTCAATGTATGAACTGAATATCATCTCGCTTTTGTCACCACGATATCACGCCACCCCGCAGGCCCTTCGACTGTTGGCAGTGATGACTGCCGTCACACAAGCCGCTTGATAACGGCATGGAATCGGGGATAGTGACATCTCCCCGCTAAGAGATACACATCGCAGGCCGTCGAAAGTGACCTTGGGATAATGCATCCGACTTGCGGGTCGATTCCGACGACCTCTCGACAGGGCATCGCTGCAGCGCGGAGGTTGTGGGGGTCACTGAATGCGGGGATCCGGGGAGTTAAGGCTTAGTTTACCAGGGTGTTCACGACGCTCAATCCACGGCAATGGGCGCGGGACGCATCCGTTACCTGGTCTTGTGGCCACGAAACAATGAAGGACCTCTTTCATATGAACCAAGGGTTTGATCACAAATTCCTAATGAGGTAACACGGTAACGCTTCAAGTTGTAGACGATCTTTCTATCTAGTCTCCGACTCCACATTCCCTCGGTTTCAACTTTTTCCAAAATGCCCGCTGCTACCAAAGTAATTCAGCCTGTCTCGCAGGACCTATTCGTTCGGTCTCACAAGTCACATAACGAGAATGAGCGGACAAAAGGTCACGTCGGCGATGAGTTGCACAGTAAACAGCATAACGGGCTAGCTGGCCATCGTAAGCCGCTTTCCACGTCTTATCCCTCCAATAGCCTCAACTTTCTTCGAGGCCTGAACTTCGAAAAGGATGGGAAGATATCAGAGAGCAACCCATCAACGCTGATTGCTCTTGATATCCTCATTATCGGAGCTGGTCTTGGCGGGCTTGCAACCGCAGTTGCTCTGGCGAGAAGTGGCCATCATGTTACTGTCTTGGAACAGGCCGCTCAATTATCAGAGGTAAGCTTGCCTGAAACCCATCCATACGATGTCAATCGGAGCCTCTTGGGCCATCTGACCACTAATTATAGGTTGGCGCCGGCATCCAGATTCCGCCAAACTCCAGCAAGCTCCTTCAAAGATGGGGGGTGATGGATATCATGGCAGAGCAGGCAGTACGGCCTGACGGCATCTCGTTCCGTCGCTGGGAGAATGGCCATCGTATTGGCTTTACTGATCTCTCTGGAACATTTATCGAGCTCTGCGGAGCACCATACTACGTCGCACATCGTGCTCACCTCCACTCTGCTCTCTATCAGCGGGCCAAGGACCTTGGGGTTGCGGTTCGCTTGGATAGCAGGGTCGCTGGCTATAACCCTCACCTACCAAGTGCGACTCTGGCTAGCGGCGAGACTTTTTCAGCTGATCTCATTGTTGCTGCCGATGGTGAGCACCTCCTTCATGTTATTAGATGCGGTCTTGATCTCGGCTAATATCCCCTTGCGACGTAGGCGTCAAGTCGGTAGCTAGAAGTCTGCTTCCCTCCAACCAAGTTGGGGCAACGAACTACACTGGCTTTGCAGTCTACCGAGCCACAGTAGATGTCAGTAAGATGAGAAGGATTCCAGAAATTGCCTGGATCCTTGAGAAGCCTGGATTGCACGTCTGGTGAGTTCATATACGATCAAGTATGTCGGAGATGGCGGTCTAACATGCTCCATAGGATTGGCGAAGATCGTCACGTCATGACTTACACTATTGCTGCCGGCGAATCCTTCAACATGGTGCTATCTCACAGGGACTCGAGGGATCCTTCAACGTGGGAACAAAAGACTCAAGCCGAAATTCTGGGAGAGATGAGAGCAGAATTCCGGGGTTGGGACTCACAGTATGACCCCAGTGCCCGTTTGTTTTCAAAACATATTTGCTCAACTTGTTGACATATCGTAGGCTCACCAAGATCATCGAACTGATTGACACCACAATCAAGTGGCCCTTGATGGCTGGCGTCCCGTTGGATAATTGGGTCGCGGATTCCGAGCGTCTTGTTATCCTCGGCGATGCAGCCCATGCAATGCTCCCCTACATGTCGCAGGGGGCAGCCATGGCGGTTGAAGACGGTGCCGCTCTGGCTGTGGCCCTCAACAATATTCAGAATCGTGAACAGCTCGGTCTTGCGCTTCAAGTGTTTCAGGGAGAAAGGAAATCACGCACCTCAATGATGCAGGAGGCCAGCATGGTGAATGCCCTGCTATGGCATTTCAAGGATGGCCCCGAACAGAAGGCTCGAGATGAGGCGATGCGTCCCGAAGTTGAGGGTCGCAAGTTTGCGAGCAGCCCAAATCAGTGGTCCGACCCCCTCACTCAATCGTGGGCTTATGGATACGACGCCGAGGATAGGATGTTGGAGAAATGGAAACAGGAGAGTGAGGCGTAAGAATATTGATATCGATATGATTGCAGGTTCCAATAGATTGTGGAAAGATCTAGTCGATTAGCTAGACGGAGAAAGTTTGAGAGTTTAATGTTAGAACCCATTAAGAGGATATGTTACATGGCGTTCCATTTTGCAGACCATCATGGGATACCTCGCAGAAGGTCGTAACAGTTAAGATAGTGGATGACAAGCTGTTCGTTGAATTGGTCCAAGGAGATAGTAGTCCATATCTGTATCGACGAAATTTAGATGCAAGATGTATTCTCGAAGCATGCCTCGTAAACCCCCCACTAAGATAACTTTCCGTCATGAGCAAAGACTCTTATTCAGCCCTGAAAAATTATAAGTTGGGCAGCTTCGATTAAACAACAACAGTTCTCTTATTCCTACATGTAGTGACCGAAATCTAGTGTCTAGCGCCTACCAAAATAAGTCCCCTGTAGTAAAATCATCCATTAACTCAGACATGGAGAAGTTTGCACCAGTGTTGGGGAAATCGTTGAAGTTGGGTGGGAGATAGTTCATCAGGTTAGAAAAGGCGTCATCCATTCCGCTATTCGCCGATATATGCGTGCTTTGCGCGTTCTCACCTCCATTCGAGGGAATTGCGTGGCTTGGCCTCATCCCTCCCACTTCACGAGCGATATCGTCCCGACCCGGAGCTTTGCTGAGGTTAGTCTCTGTAGGAATATATTGTAAACAAATTCGATCACGTACTCATTTGCAAACTTTGAATCATGAAGATCAAGGTCGCGGTGAACTTTGCGCACTTCTCTACCATGGGGTTCTGGATATCCAATCGCGTAATGCAACTGACTGCACTCTTTAGAATATCGTCAAGCCGTATAGCGGTATTTGTATATCCTTGATCAAAAGGCATAGACCCATAGCTATCTTCGACCAGCTTTGTCGCAACAATAGTCAAAGAGGCATTGAAGGCTTTTGTGAGATTAGCTGGCATCCTTCCAGGTAGCAGGCCAAACTTACTGAAGTACAGGCTAAACCACCATGCTCCAAGGAATGAAACGGTAGGCTGGACATCATTCGCAAGTTTGCAGGCTTCAACTAAGCGAATGATAGCTTCCGCCGACCGCAGGCATACTGTTCTACTAAGATGCCACGCCTGTTGCAGCGTGGCTGCTTCCTGGAGAGACTGAGGGCTTCCATCGAATGATTGTAGACAGCGGTCTAGTATTGGGCGATGCGACAGGAGTTGCAAATTATGATACCGAAGTGTCAGTATCACTCGGAACTTCAGTAACATCAACTTCCCCTCAGGGCTGGCGACTTCACTCGGCTCTACAAGTTGCATCGATAGAGGTAAAGATGCCTGCCAATCAGCCAATTTCTGTCCAATCTGTATCACACTAGCCACGGTGTTTGTTAACGGAATGGCAGATATTGACCCGATATTGCTTTCGTATAGATCGTCAATCACGGCGGCGGTCACACCGTAAAGCGTGCTAGGTAGACGGTTATTAGTCAACATTAGGCAAGGGGAGGCTTTGTGGTAGTCAAACATTGATGCGTTCCAAAACATAGTGCTCTCTTCCTCGTTAGACCATCTCGAGATATCGGAAGTTCTTTGATGGGAAATGAAATGTCTTGGCAACGGTGTTCGAATATAGTTTTGCGGAACAATGGGCGGCCGGCCGAAGGTCATACTCAGTGTTCTATATCCCGATAGTGATCTTGTTAGACATAGTTCCTTCGACGGGCTTCTAGATCCACCGAATATGCTACTTGCCTATCGAGTACGACACATCCATACCAAGTGCGTATTCTTATTTCTCTCTCGAGTGGTTCGAATCTTTGAAGAGCCAATTCGGAATGAAACCCTAACTCGAGTGCAGCTTTCACAGCGAGCCCGTGTATTGCCCATGTCTGTATAGACCGTTGGCTGCCTTGAAGGTACTGTGACATCAGGAGCATGGCCTGGACTTGAGAGATTTGAGGTCAGCTAAAGGAACTAGCACGTACTAGGAAGATATAGCAGACACTGAAGATGGAAGGGAAGGGACTGCAGCAGTACCTGCTTCTACGTTGGCCCCTGTCATCATCTCAGTCATAGAGAGGGCTTTGGCGCGCCGGTAATGAACCTCTGAAATTGCCTGTCGATCGCTCAAACCGACACCTGTAGCGTTCATGGTACTCGTTGCCATGGCCAAAACCATGTGCAATAGTGCAAGCCAAGCGGTTTTCGCATTTTGCATGCCCGTTTCTCGGTACTGAGCGTACGCTTTCCAGAAACTTTCTTCGTGTATATAAGGAAATAGGAGACCTGTGTCACGGAAGAATTGGCGCACAAGATTGATGACCTCTTCTTCGAGTGGCAAACGCAATGCCTCGGATGGCTTTTCGAGTTTCCTTGAGTCGAAGGAATCAGTGACTGGTGACTGAGATCTCGAGACAGCCAGGATGTGTTGTTGTGCATGTTTTGCAGGTGTCGAGGATGCATCTCCGCGCTCATCTTTTTGGGTCTTATTCAATAAGTGGTCGAGCGTGCGGCGAATAATTCTCGTGAAGGCAATATTGGATGACGGCCCTGAATGATTGATGATAGAATCAGCAGGTATAAAGGGAACATCGAGGCCCATGGCCGTGAAGCCTAGTTTATTGTGTCATACCGAAATACGCCCAAGACTCGTCTGTGGTAAATTCAATAGTACCAACACCGTCTGTCGCGTCGGGGGTGATCCCCTGCGTGACGCTTCCATCCTCAACATTCAGTGACTCCTCGGGGTAGTTGACTTCCGAAATGTCGTCGGTACGGCCAGAAACACTACGTGGAAAGAGGACGTGTTGCTTTCCTTGTAGAAACGAGGCGGGTATAAGTCTTTTCAGTCGACTGATTTCTTCTTCGACATCGGCTAAGCGGTGTTCAACTTGTTCGAGATATCTATTCACAGAGTAAGATAAGTCTTGAAAGACTCTGCATAAAGTTCCACTAAACATACTGTTTCGGTACCAGCGCATTGCTCCCACCAGAGTTGGCTGCGTAGATACATTCGATACCTTGTTCGACGCAAGCGGAGCACTGAGGCCTAACACCATCACACTTTTCGAGAGTGTATTCTGATTAGTCTTCTTGGACAGCCAGTGGCACCTGCTGGGCGGAAAAATCCCGTTCAGGCGAAAACTGCCAATACTGGCTCCCACCAGCGTGGTAGTCCGAGAATCTCGCACTCACCCTCGACTTCCGAGCACGGCAGGAGCTGCAAGCAATCGGGATACGCTTCCGCTTCCGAGTCGACGCGCCTGTTGGCCCGGGAGTGCTGTTCTCCATTTCCCGAGGAAAGTCTTCATACAGCTTACAAGTTGTGCGGCACGATAGGGCAGAGACTGGTAGAGGCGGGGATTTAGAGAGAAAGATGATCAAGTCCCCGGTGTAGTTGAAAGGGGAGGGCGGGGAGTTAGGGAAGAGCACCGAACTCTAAGTGCTGTACGCCTAACGCAGAGAGGCTGTGCTACGACAAATCGCGTACGGTTAGCGTTGTGGTTGGTGTCTTTGCTGAGCCTCCGACCATGCTCTTTCGGCCAACAGCTTAAATCCCCGAGCACACCTGTGTTCGCTTTGTAACTCACCGTCACGTCGACAGTATTGGCGAAACGCGGTTGGTCTTCATACGGGATGAGAGTTCGGCAAACACCCGGAAATCATGTGTTTTTGATCAAGTCATAAACACATCTCGTCAACACTGAAATGTCGCTACTGTATCTAAGCATCATTCAAGAAGAGTAAAAGTAGTCAATCAATACCTTACCACTTCACTCGAGCAACTCAACGTCGTATCATCCTGACAATCCGAGAACTAGCCATGTCTTCAACGACCGTCACAGAAACTTCGCACCAAGCCGAGCCGGCTGAAGACCACACCGCAACGATGTTGCGCGCCGCCGAGGCCAACCACACAAAGCCTTTGTGGCTGCAAATGACCAAACTAAACCCCCCTCTGCCCAATCCACGGTGCACACCCCATCTTTGGAAGTATTCTGAAATTCAACCCACTCTCTTGCAAGCGGGTCAGCTTGTTACCGAAAAGCAAGCTGAGCGTCGGGTGCTTATGCTCGTCAACCCTTCCAGAGGTACGCAGCCTGCACCGATGGAGCTTCAGATCTGTTATTACTTCTAATCATTAGATCTGTTCCTGACTCAGAACCCCAGATGCTCCATTCACGACTGACACTCTTTACGCTGGGCTGCAACTGGTCATGCCCAATGAGACGGCACCGGCGCATCGGCACACGGCTTTTGCTATGCGCTTCATCATTGAGGGCAATGGCGGCTTCACTGCCGTTCATGGAAAGCGCATCCAGATGAACCGGGGAGATGTAATCTTGACCCCCACTTGGAATTGGCATGACCATGGAAAGGATGGGTCTGGCCCGATGATCTGGCTTGACGGCTTAGATTTGCCCAACTTTACCCACTTCCCTGTTCATTTCGTCGAGCATTTCTCATCTCCACGATACCCAGCAGACAATGTTGATACATCCCAGTCGCCCATTGTCTTCCCATGGAGTCGGATGAAAGCAGCACTTGACGCCGAGGAAGGACAATATGCTACACAAAGTTATCTCCGTGCAGATGGATCTGAAGGTACTTAATTCCCGTTCTGCCTCATTATAATTGTTGGAACTTGGACTGACTTGTGCAACGCTCCAGTCAGCAAGGTTTTAGGTGGTCGTGCAGCCCGCTTGACCTCCGGTGCCAAGTCCTCTCTGGTTCAGGAGACCGCATCATCTGTTTATCATGTCGTCGAGGGATCTGGGCGCTCTCGTATCGGTGATACAGAACTTGTTTGGAACAAGGGTGATACCTTCTGCATTCCATCCTGGTATCCTTACCAGCATTTCGCGGACGAGGGTCTGAAGACAGATGTATACCTGTACCGTTTTGATGACATGCCTATGCTGAAAAGTCTGGGATTCTACCGCTCAGCTGACATGGATGTGGAATGTCTCGTGTCGAAGTGAACGATTGTACGCTGGACCATTCACGTGTAGACTAAGTAGGCAAACTGAATGAAACATCTTTTACTGCGGCAAGTGTACTTACCTAGAATTCGGGGTCTAGGACAGAGTTTGCAAACTTACAGACGGTTGATTCTTCGCGCCGGAGCATGATTCAGGTACCGTCGCTTGGTGCAAGTGTTTTGTGACAATCATTGATAATGTTAAATCACTCCAAGATATCGTCCATCTCAATTGAATATAAAACTTTCGAACTCATTATGGATTCTTAATTGTAACAGGGCTCTAGTAGTCGAGAGCCCGAATGTTCTTATTTGCTGCCAGAGAAGAATGATAGACGGGATTCGTACGCTGGCGTTTCTACACCAACTGCACTACCCCTGTCCCGTCTAAGACTACCCTCTCAGTCTAAGCGAGAAATGCAGTCTTACGAATGACTGTTTCACTGAAGAAGTAGAGGGGGATCACCAATAAGTACACCGCCCAGAGAATTCCCGCCATCGTACCAAACTGAGCGACGGGTCCCGCCTGTGCCATCCAGCTTGTGGCCGCGTAAGAAACTCCGAAGCCGACAGAGTTCTTGATCAAATTCACCAGCACTCCGATGTGGCTTGCTCTAGGTGGCATGGTGTCAACAGCGTACGTCAGTAACACATTCGCCGAGCAAGTCAGACCTGTGGCAAGCATGCCATAGCCAACGCTGACTTGCGCCCACTTCTCCGGTGATGCAAGACCGTACCCAATGACCAAACATCCAGCTGGGCTGATTAGACCTCCGATAATCACAGCAGGCAATCTCGAAGCTGGATCTTGTTTTCCACCATTGCGACGTGTATCTCGGTTGAATAGGTAATCAGCCAATGCGCCTCCGATCGGAAGACCAATCAGAAGACCGACCAATGGGCCAACACTAAGCAGACCGACATCTCGGGCACCCCAGAGTAGGGGCGGGGGACTGTATACCACCGAGAGCAAGATAGATACCAGAACGGTCCAGCCAATGGTGAGACCAAAGACCAAAGTTGTGACAATAACCTGGGGCGCGCCTAGAAGTTCAAGAGGCTGGAAGAGGCTTGAGGCGGCGAGCTTCCAGTCCATGTCGACATATGCTGTTGAGAATGAGCGCAGTCTCCATTGTTTTCCGAGTTCTCTGGGCCCTGCAAAGCCTTGCTGGTTGGCGTTTTCAACTTCGGCGTAGGTAGGGCTCAAGGGCAGACCTTTGGGGTTATCTTCAGTAATAACGGGGTTGAGCTCAACTTCAGCCGTCTTTGGCGAGTCCGCGCGTGTTTCCGGGAGCATGATCAGTGATCCGACAAACGTGATGAAGATCAGGGCCGAGAGGATACGGAAGTACCATCTCCAATCTCCAGTACCATCCGCGACAAGACCGGAAATGATCGGTCCGACAGATGAGCCCGCAGCAAGGAGTCCAACATAGACAACCATTGCGCTTGCTAATTGCTTGTTTGGGAATGCCTCTTCTACGAAGCTGGGCCCCAATGCCTCAACAAGCCCGCCAGCGAGCCCGCCGAGAATCCTTGAAGTTCGCAGGTTATTGAATGTTGTTGCTTCCCCTGACCAAAGGCAGAAGACAAAGAACATGACGAGCGATATTAGAATCGTGTATCGTTTACCAATGAGAGATGCGGCAGGGAGGGCGAAGATGTTCTAGAGTTGAAGGTCAGTTAGTTCGTGTCTCTCAAGAAACATATGTCAAAACGGTGAATGTTCTCATTTTAAATCAGGCTTACCGAGAGGCCAAGAGTCAAAAGCACATAGGTAGAGAGCTGGGAGGCCTCTTCCGAAGTGCAATGAAGCTCTGCAATAATGCGCGAAAACAGCGGAGGAGCGCCTGCAGCAAAGGCATTTCCCAAAAGGTTGTAGAAGCTAACGTTCAGGAGAATCCAGATTCTCCACGAAAGTGGCCATCCCTATCGAGTAGTTAGAGATTAGTCTTCAAAGCCTATGATATTGTGACATCCTTGAACTTGAGGACACCGGCAACACTTACCAAGACGCTCGACTGCATCGCGGAATCATTCGATGTCGACATGTCTGCTGATTTTGGACGTACGATATGAGTTGATTTTTCAAAGTCTAGTTCGATAATCTAGACAAATGCATATATGGGTTTTCGCAATTTCCGCTCAATACCGGCTCCGCCTTGTCCTATCTACTCCAGCCCACCCCTTTACAGATCACGTCTTTCATTACAAGACCAACTTTACCAACGCGTAGCGTGCCATTGGTCTAGCGAGTCATTCGGGGAGATAAACCTAAGGGTATGCGTCCGCGGAGAACTGTCATAACCCCGGATACTACCCCGCATCCGCAGCGGCCCGCGTCCATATTGGAGACCGGGTGACGATGGTCTGCTTCCGTGATCTCGGGGTCAAGCGGGGGAAGCGGGTCTTGTTAGAGACTCGCCGCGCGCAGTATGAAGCATATATCGAGGACTGACGTTGACTCAGGCTAAGCATTGCGACACAGCCGTGTCTGGCACGTCAGCCGATCGAGTCAGTTGGTCGCTCGTAAGCAAATCCAAACACCACCAAGGCTATGCTGAGCGATGGCACGCTACCAGGAAGCTTGTTAACTATGCATCAGTAATAAGTACATTAATTTAAGATCTCATCGTCATGCTTTGCTGGAACACGAGCCTGACAAGTATCAGGATCTCCTATCTCCGCGATGAAGCGGAGTCACAATATCAACATGGCTTGGTTGCAGTATTGAGGTGCTCCTACATTGTGAAGCCTAGAGTCTCAATGGAACCTACCTGTACGTAGCCTGGAACTTCTTTATTCATCCTTTTCCAATCCATCAGCCCCCATCAGAAAGCGGTAAGTAAAAGGGCTTCTTAAAGTCAAGATAACTTTATTGAGTCGAATTGGTCGAGGATTCCTAGTAATTGAGGACAAATCGACAATATTGCAAAAGTTAGACGCTTCTAGCCGCCAAATGGGTTCTGTTCCCTCTTCACTGAGAACTTGGTCCTTTAACTTATCATGATATGGCAAAGAGAAAGTTAGGCAACGAATTGGGTTTCATCGCAGAGGAAGCGATGTGAGGTATGACATAAGGATTCAGGTAGCAGTTCCCGAATGGCTTCAAGCTTGAATGCATGAGTTGACGCTTCTGTGGCTCAACGTACCTCTCTTCAATGATTGTAATTCAAACGGACTTCAACCATGTTCAATGATTTCTTGTCTAATGTATTTTACACACCATCAGGTTCTTCCTAGAGTCAAGGAACAGACCGGCTGTTATGTTGAGTATTCTGAGACTTTATGAGGCGTCACATGGTGAGCT